AAACCTCCGCCAATTGAGGAAAAAAAAATTCCACTGCAAAAATTTGTGTGAAAAAATAAAAAAAAATTTTTTCTCTTTATATTTTTTCCTTTTTATCTTTACGCAACACAAACGAGAGAGATTTTCCTGGCTCACGCTAATTCTGGACAATTGGTTTCGCTTTTCTTTTATTTTTATTTATTTAAAATAAGGCAATATAAACACTTCACTTACATGAACTTCATATTTCTAAGAAACTCCAGTTGCTGGTGGCCGATGCGTGTAGCGCTGTCTGTAGGGTGCCGAATCCTCCTCGTGTAGTTGCTGGGACTGCCGTTGGGGCCGCTGCTTGGTTCTGCACTGCTCTGAACTTTAGAGCTGTTTTTTCTTTTTTTCTGTTCTTTTCACTCGCTCAGCAATAGCCGCTGGGGTTTTATTTTTTTAATTATTTTTTATTTATATTTTTTTTCATCTGAAGCTTCTGTCACCTTTTCAGATGTTGAAGTCTCACTTTAAACTGCTTGCTGTATCACTCCGATTATTTTTACTTTTAGTTACTTTTCAGATGTTGAAGTCTCACTTTAAACTGCTTGTTGTATCACTTCAATTATTTTTACTTTTAGTTACTTTTCAGATGTTGAAGTCTCACTTTAAACTGCTTGTTGTAGCACTTTAATTATTTTTGGTTACTAGTAATTGTAACAATTAGTACATCTATCACGACGTTTGGCACGACGATATTATTTTGTTTTAATTTTTTTAGTATGTTAGCACTTGGCATGTTAATCGCGGCGTTGGCACGACGATGTTGTTTTTCTTTTTTTTATTCTTATTAAATGTAACACTAAATACTTTTCTCGCGGCGTTGGCACAACGAGGTATTTACTAAGTTAATTTAAAAACGCGAGTAATTACTTCACCGTTGGGCGCCAGTAAACAAATCTCGGTTGGAGTAGGTTTCGTTTAGATGTTTATTTAGCTCAACTGAGCATAATGAGTTCCAAATTAAAAACTAACTTAAATAAATATTCAATGCAGGCCACATAGCCTATGGCCCGCGGCAGCGCCGGAGCATAGCCCATGGGCCGTGGCAGCGCAGGCAACAGAACGCTGACTCGGCGCCTCGTGACCGTTCTTGCAGTGGTCACTCAGCGCAGGCATGCGGGTGTCAGGTTCCGCCGGCCGCTGTGTTGCAACGGCGTCCGGTCTGATGACTTGGTCAGCAGATATTGCCTTGCGCGTGTGAACTGGCATCTGTGTTGCAACGGCGTCCGGTCTAATGACCTGGTCAGCAGATTCTGCCTTGCGCGTGTTAACTTATACACTCACATAGAAATTGTACATGAAATGTACAGAAGTATATTAGGTTTGCGGGAGCTGAAAAATGTTACAGGCAGAAGGAGGCGTGGCAGACCCCACAAAGTATATATATCCTTGATCAGCATGACAAGACGAGTCGATCTAGCCCTTTCTGTCTGTCTGTCTGTCCGTCTGTCCGTCCGTATGAACACCTGGATCTCAGAGACTATAAGAGATAGAGACACAAAATTTTGCACAAAGATGCCTTAAGTGTGTATTCTATACGAGTTTGTTTTATTTTTTTGATTTTCCCCCCCACTTCCCCCCTATGGGGGTTTTCCCGATTTTTCATTCGTATAATCGCCTATATCTCGGAGACTATAAGACCTAGGATTTTTTCTAACTCCCGTAATTCTTATAATTTCGAACTAAAATTTTGCAAATACCCCCAGTTGGTTATTGTGTGTGCGTATGCAAAGTTTCACTATGATAGCCATAAAGCCATAAGTTATAGCCATAAATATATTTGCTGCTGCAGCGCTGCTCAAGCGCTGCTCAAGGGCTGCCCGCGGCTGTTGTTGATGCTGGTGCTTTGGCTGACTGCACACATGTTTACACAGACACGAATAGATGCGCATAGGCATGCATACACTCACACAGACGCAATTGCTATGTAAATGTGCAATTATAAACCCTTTACGTGAGTTCGAATACCGAGAGAGGTAAAATCGATCAAATATTTTTTTTATTTTCTTAATTTTTTATATTTTCTATAATTATTGTAAACATATGTACAGAGTATTTCAAAGTCGGGACACCCGACTTAAGCTTTTTTACTTGTTTTTTTTTTTAATTCTTTAAATTTCTATAATTATTCTACACATATTTACAGAGTATTACAAAGTCGGGACACCCGACTTTAGCTTCTCCACTTATTGAACTTTGTTCCTGCCTTTATAACATTGCATGTCTCTGTATAAGCACTTCAACCACATAGAAGAAGAGCTTCAAACAGCTTCTTAAATGCTCGTAATCCCGTAGATGTTCTCAGTGACACTGGGCATAGCACCATTTACATATCATTAATTTTACCGCCGCAGCATACATACAACAAGATCAAACGATCCCAGTCAACAACGGCAATATACTCAGCTTATACAATGAATGATGAAAGAAACAGTGGTAGACAATCGTGTTACATTCAAGTTGTCACTACAAATTTTTGGAACAGAAACACTGGAGCTTTATAACTTAACCATGCACTCCAAAAAACAATGAATCTACGCAGTTATTTCTCCGATCAAGGTATCAGCAATATGCAATGACGACTTTTTTGCAGATCCGGGTTCATATTGATCAACTCCGGTTGCCGAATCTGCAACTTACCTTAAGCGCCAGGCCGCGGCCGCCGACGACACCGCTGTTACAAGGGGAGCTAGCTAGCCCTAAAATTTAGTATTTAATTACTTTCAGTTAATTAGTTGTAAAAAATGATTTAAATGAGTGATGAGTTTACGTTCTTAAACAAGCAGCCAATTCCGTGTTCTTCATTCAAGACAAAACAAATTCTTCGACTCCACCTACTTGTCTATGTGCTAGTAGGACCAACAACTTTACAGTTTTATTTATATTTTTATGTAAATTTCGTCCTTTCTGTTTCGTCTGGACAAAAACGTCACTGACTAGTTTTTACGAAACTAGTTTTGGATTAAGTGAGTCAGGGTTTACACCCTGGCTGCCGCACCTACCTACCTGGGGCCGTTTCCGAAGGCCTAAAAGGGGAACACTACCATCCTGGCAGTGCTGGACCATATGTCCAAGTTTGTTTGGCTGCGAGCGATGGCGATAGCGACCGCAACGGCTGCAGTACGTTTCCTGAAGGAGGAGGTTTTTGCAGCGTTTGGGGTCCCAGAAACCGTCCACACATACAACAAGCAATTTCTCTCGAGGGAGTTTACCTCATTCTTGCGAAAGTTAAGCATTACGCACACGCGGCCGGCTAACAGACAAATGCAGCGGAACGAGAAAACCAGTCGGTGTTGGCGGAAATCCGAACATATGAAAGCCAAAAGCTGCATGTGCAGCTTTTCATTCACCATGAAATGATTCATTCATCTTGTGATGGCCAAACAAGACAAGACGTGCCAATGCTGGTGTGTATGGCACTACGTGTTGCAGACTTAACGTCAGCGAGCTTTTCGTCCCACTTGGTGTGATATTCATATGTTCGGATAGCAAAACTCAAAAAGTCCCCCGCAGATACCCGATAGCTGTCTTACACTCGAGTCTAGGTAGGCTGGGAAATCAGTGGCTGTAAAAAAACAAAAGTCATACGACCAACTCCTGCAGCGTCCCAACAGATCAAATCGAATGACCCGTAGAGGACAGCTCGAAGAATTGTAATAGAAGGTGCGTTCCAAAGTAAACAGGACATTATGAATATAGCGCCTCCTGGTGGCGCTATCTATATGCCGACTAGTGTGTTAGAATCTGCTATCTTCATCGATTGTCCAGTGAGTTGTTCATGACATTTTATCTATTCATTTCATTTCATTGGTGGAACAAGTTTATGGCGATGATTGCCTATCCCGTAGCAGAGTGCACGAGTGGTTTCAACGTTTTCAAAGCGGTCGTGAGGACATAAATGACGATCAACATGTGGGCCAATCAAAATTCGTGATCACCGAAAATTTCATCGAAACTGTGCGTGAATTCATCAAAAATCAGCAGAAATCATCATTGAAATTAATGAAAATGGAATTGAACATCTCCAAAACATCGATTTATCGCATTTTAACCGAACATTTGGGCTTACGAAAGGTGTGTGCACGGTTTGTTCCGCACAAATTGACTGACGACCAAAAATTGCTCAGAATCGATCGACGCTTGTAACCGATTATTTGATCAAAAATCACATTTTAACCATTAACCACTCGCCGTATTCACCTGATATGGCACCGTGCGACTTCTACCTTTTCGGAAAAATGCATTTGCCCATGAAAGGAAAGCGTTATGCAGACGTAGAGGCCATTCAAAAGGCTTGCACCGGCATACTGGCGGCCATACCGGCCAACGAGCTAAAACACTCGTAGGACATGCTTTTGGATCGTGCAAAAAACTGTATTGAAGCAGAAGGAGACTTTTGGAATAAAATAAATTGATTTTGCCGAAAAAACCATTTGTTCTGTTTATTTTTTTTTTTCAAGTCCTGTTTTCTTTGGAACACACCTTGTAAATGTGAAAATAATCATAAATTGCGAATAAAATCTGAAATGGGTGAACATCTAAAAGGGTACAAAAACAACACAAACGCATATAAGGGAGTCGACCTATACCTATACCGGCCTTTATGACCTTTGAGTCGACTTGAAGACCTAATTTCAAAAAATGCATAAAATCTTAAACATAAATAAAGCCAAATAAACATATTTGAATTATTCCGTGTACCCCAGAACTTATGAAATAGTTACGCTATCCTGCTAAGTAACACAAAGCATTCTCATTGAAAACTTCCTGAATATTGAAATTGCACGGTATTACCTTGGCTATTCAAAAATCGATTCTCGGAAGCGAAATATCGTTTCTCGACCTTCAAAAGTAAATAATCGATTTTTAGTCGAGTCGCTACCATCTCTTGGCTTTGTAAAATTCTTAGGTAGTAAATCTACATATGTATATGTTTTCATATGTTAAATTAGATAAAAAAGAGACAACGAATAATGAACATAAAATGTGAAGGTTGTTGACAACATTATATGATATAAATTGCGATAGTTTTAGAAGACCATAATAGTTGTTCTTTGCTAGAAAATGTTTTAAGTAACGACTTTGATTTTGATTCCTTTCAAAAAAACACTAATACGCGCTCGGATTGTCATTTTATAATTAGGGTTCCTCCACTGCAGGTAATTTTATGAAGACTATAGTAAACTTTTAAATAGCTCTTTTAACATATTTTATACATTACCATGTCTACGCATGTTGGTTTCAGAAACATATGTACATAAATGTATGTATGTATGTACATACATATGTATGTATTTTTTCATATGTATGTATTCATGAAAAATACATTAGGTCTGTGTTATTGCTCAATATTCGTAGGGGTTTAATGTTTTTTGACAACGTGAAAGATTCAAAACAAAAAAATGTTAGCAAGTTGGTTGGGTATATTTCGCAAACGGCGACATTTTGATGCGGCTGGGCCTGCTGCAGAACCGCAAAGGCGACGGCAAAATATTCATGGAAATGATAAAGATGATTACTCTCTCCCTGTCAACTGGACAGATGATTATTTTTTTGAGCTACAAAACAACAGAACAGAACTAAATAGGTAAATATCAAATAAATGATTTGTCTGTTTTTTTCAGTTTGCATTTGTGGAAACAGCTAAGGCTCGTCATAGGCCTATAAGCCTAGGCAGTATTTAAAATCACCATTGCAACAACTACGATTGTAGCATGACATCGATTTTCATGTAAAAAATTATTGGTGAATAGGACATACTACAGCCAACACTTTGAAGTTGAAACTACTTACAATAAGTGTCATTCGACGCTTTTGGTTTATTGCCCTCCGCATGCACATAGTGCTACGGCAGCAATAGCAGTTTCGTGTCACACTGGAGCACCTTCAGGAGATGGATATTGATGCATCTCCCGTGTTCGTCTCACAGGAGCCAAACAAGGACAGGAGCAATAATCCCGTTAGAAGTCTTTATCAGTCAGAATCATCAATGAATTTTGATTATTTGCAAGGCTTGCGTGCGGACGCTACTGCCTCAGCCACATCATCTAGTTGTGGAATTGGTGGTAGCACATATGGACTGGTGGACGACAGTAGGGCACTGGACAGGTTGTTATTCCTACTAATTCTACCCACCACTTTTAATTCTCCCTTACCAATTCTAGTTATGTAGTCGACTCCTTTTGTTATATATATAATACATAATATAATATATATATATATATATATATATATATATATATATATATATATATATATATATATATATATATATATATATATATATATATATATATATATATATATGTGCAATCAAAATATATAAGTACATATATTCTTGATGACAAGAGAAGTCGACTCTGTATGTTAGCTCTGTATGCCTCTTCCATATGAACACCTAGATCTCAGAGACTGCAAGATTTAGATGCCTTATATATTATAGCAGTGCAAGTTTATTTTATATACTCAGTACACGAAATGTACAAGAGTATATTCGGTTTGGCAGAACAGGCAGAAGGAGGCGTAACAGAACCCACAAAGTATATATATTATTGATCAGCAGAACAAGAAGAGTCGATCTATGTCTGTCTGTTCGTATGAACACCTGGATCTCACCCGACTTTAGCTTTTCCACTTGTTTTCTAATGCACCGTACTTTCCCGTTCCTATTAACACTTAGATCCCAGGGACAATGAATTGGAACATCAAATTTTGCACGCAAATGCCTTATATGTATGTACATATATAAGGTATAGTCATAAGTGTAACCCCTGCCCAAATTTGTTTTATTACAATTTTGCTTACTGTACCATTTTTCCAAGTTTGTAATTTTTGGTAATTTATATATTTATTATTTTACACATAGGTACGGAGCATTTTAAAGTCGGAGCACCCGACTTAATATTTACCACTTGTTTTTAATAAGACGCACTAAAAACAAATTTAAGTCTTTTTCTTTTCATACATTCACGCTATTACCATTTCTTTTGTGTGACAGACCCTTCAATGCAAATGAACGGTAATGATTATAAAAGACATAAAACAAGTGATAGCGTTTTATATTATGTTATATTTTCAATATTTCAGCTTTGTTTCCATACTAGATCAATTAGATGCACGTGTCGAGAAATTCCGTAAGGATGCGCTCAACTTACAAGAAAAAAAAGACTACCTTTTGATGTCTATGGATCTCATAAAAAGTAACGAAATGCTGCAAAACATGAGTGACGGTGAGTTTGTATCCAATTAAAATGTTTTATAGGTCAATAACTTAATAATACAAACAGCTGAACGCGAGGAAATTATATGCTACATACAACGTGTCAACAGTCGCCTTGGCACTGTAGAGTTAAACGTACGAACAGTACGCGACAACTCTCAAGAAGATTCGCTTAGTCAGATTAATGCACTGATAGATACTATGATTAAAATGGGTGATCCGGTCATTGCACGTCAACGATGTCAGCTATATTTGAATGCATGCTGTAGTAGTTCTATGGACCCTCATTTGGATACGCTGCCTGATGCCGATATGGGCCCTATTGATAAAAAATTTGAGAGCGTTTTACTAGGCTGTACGCTGGATGATCAGAAAAATATTAAAAAACGATTACAGGCGCTCATGGGATATTTAAATAAACAAACGGTCAGCAATTAGTTGAATGAAATCATTTTGGGCTACTTGTTTGTCCAAATACAAAACAACCATTTCAATCGTTAGGCATAATTTTAAATTAATTTTAAACCGCAAATACAAGGAAATAAAAATTGCACCGCAATTATTAACAGCAATTTTACGCTCCGAGATTTTTAAATTAATATTAAAATATATCTATTCGTTGAACCTTTTACGCAGCATTTGAAGGTTTCGAATAGTTTTATACCCTACACCCAAGCAGTATCTTATACTAAGTCATAGAATACTAATTTTATGTGCATCGCGTTTTTTTCAAAATTTGAAAAGTACGATATCTTGCAGGTTTATTTATTTTGCAATGTTACGAAATAACACAGTATACTAATAAATGACGATTACATGTAAAAATAAACTTAAATTAATTAGTAATCTATATATATAAAACAGTTTGTCCTGACTGACAGATTGGTGATCAATGCACAGCCCAAACGGTAAAGGCTAGGAAGCTGAAATTTGGACTCAAGTATCCTTTCATAGTCTAGGTGCCCACTAAGAAGGGATTTTGGAAAACTCCAGCTCCAAAGGGGGGAAAACAGGCTCCAACGTTTGTATGAAAAATCTACAGTTTTCATCTGATTAACTTCAAACTTAGTTTGTATACTCTCAAAACAATTCCAAGAAAAACTGTATACTTGGTTTTTTGATATTTTTTTGGGGGCCCAAACCGCGTCAACAGCCCACACGGTAAAAGCTAGGATGCTGAAATTTGGGCTTAAGTATCCTACCATGGTGTAGATGCGCACTAAGAAGGGATTTTGGAAAATTCGAGCTCCAAAGGGGGGAAAACGAGCTGCAAAGTTTGTTTGAAAAATCCGCATTTTTTAGCCGATCGACATAAAACTTGGCTTCTGAAATCAATAAAAGAATACAAACAAAACTGCATACTTAGATTTTCGAAATTTGAGCTTGAATTATTGGGGTTTTAATATTTATTCACTATTTCAAATGAAAAGTTTGTGTTATAAATTAAGTCCGATCGATTTAAAATTTGGGTAATGTAATCTACGTAACTAAATCTACAACTTTGCATTCAAGGATTTTCAAAATATGCATTTTACAAAAACAGGCAGAACAAACAATACAAGATATCAAACAGTTGGGGACAACTAAGTATACACACACACACGCAGTTGTTCGTGTAGTTGCGTGCAAACGATTGAAATAGCCAAAGCAAAATGTGAGACACTAATGTGTGAATGTCCATACATACAGTGACGAACAAAATTATTGGCACAGTTGGCATGTCTGACTTTCGCACAGTGTTTCTCCATGAAATATGGTGATATTTAAATAAAACAAATTTTATTCATATACATTGATCAATTTCCTACTAAAATTACTTTATTTCATTCATTTATATTTTTCCATTAATTTAAGAAAATTAAAAATATAAAAAAACAGCCGTTTTCGCCTGAACAAAATTATTGGCATGTGCACATCTATGTATGTACATATGTATCTACATATGTACTATATGTATGTACATTCGTCTTGCACTGACAGAGCAAGAAATGTTAATTAATTGAAAATTATATAACACTTTTAAATGTAATTTTTTCTTTGTTGGCATTAGGGTTTTTATACCCTGTACCCGTAGGGTAAAAAGGGTATATTAGGTTTATGCAAAGTGTGTAACATGCAGAAGGAAGCATCTCTGACCCCATAAAGTATATATATTCTGGATCAGCATGACGAGAGAAATCGATCATGTTCGTCCGTCTGTCCGTCCGTCTGGATGAACGCAAGGATCTCAGAAACTATAAAAGCTAGAATAACCAAAGTTGGCTTCCAGATTCTCCTAGGGCCGAGGAAGGACGAGTTTATTTTATTTTTTGGAATCCCCCCCCCCCCCCCCCCCTTCTCCGCTACAGAATTTCGTCAATAGCGTCCACATTTCAAATGCTACCTAAACCAAACTTTGCACACATAGTTTATACCTATTTATCTACTGTTGTTTAAAATTTTATAATTCGGTCAATTCTAAGAAAAGTTATTAGCGAAACAAATTCTGGCCCGTACAACCACCCCAAACTGCAGCAAAAAGTTCGCTCTTCTTCTTCCTCTTTTTGCTGCTGCTTTGGGCGCATATAACTCAGTGACGGAAGTTTACCTGGGTACAGGGTATTACACTGTCGGGCTTGCTCGACTGTAGCGTTCTCTCTTGTTCATTAATAACTTTATGCAGCAACAACAAATATCAAATAGTTGGGGACATCACATACACACACACAGCAAGCAACAGTTCGTGTCTATGTGTGCGGTTCTCTACGTACGGTTGAAAAAGTAAAGAGAAACATACATACATATGTATGCCTGTGTATGAATATAGTATGTATGTACATTCGTATTAATGTATACATTGGGCAATCGAATACAGTTGTTTGATTGTAAAAAAAAATAATGCTCTAAAAACAACAACAACTGCAAGTCATTGGCTCGCTCTTCTTCTTTCGTTTTGACCATTTAATGTTAATTGCAAAGGCGAAACGCCAAAAGTTTACAGTTACCGTCGCTAGGCAACGACTGCGTAAGCGATAGTAAAGCAGAAACCGAATAACGGAGCTACGCATATTCTGCTTCGCATTGCGGGCAGATGTATGTATGTATATGATTTGCTCTTATTGATCTCAATAAATAATTAGATTTTATTATTTAAATATTCTGCTTATTGCATTCAAACTTCGATATTTTGATGGTATCGGTAGCTTCAACTATCGAAAGTTTTACTCTAGCAAATTGAGATGAGACTTGTCAGTGCTTTTTGATCGTGGCTCATCGCTGCACGGCATTGACACGTGTGCCGTGTTTCATATTCCGAGTTCATGTGAACCGTATTGACTCAATATGGCACGAAAAGGCTCAAATGTGAATTTAAAATTAGTATATACCCTTACAATTATTCCCCTTTTTTGCACATAGTCTATCTTAAAACGTTGCGTTATCTCTATATATAAAACAGTTTGTCCTGACTAATTGGTGATCAACGCACAGCCCAAACGGTAAAAGATGAAATTTGGACTCAAGTATCCTTTCATAGTATCCATCATAGTGTAGGAGCACACTAAGAAAGGATTTTGGAAAATTCTAGCTCCAACGGGGGGAAAACGAGCTTTAAAAAATATTAGTTATAGTGGTCATGTTCGTTTAACGAAATAGTTTGGCAAGAACAAAAATGTAACGGACTGCTGAACAATTTTTTGTCAAGAACAGAAAATGTTCATTTAAATACCTTAAATGCCTTCCTACTGGTAACTTATAAGGTGAAAACATATGGGTAGGTTATGCACACACAAAATAAATACAATTGGAAACATTATATTGAGCCGGGTTAAGACGGGCAATACCTGCTAGTCTTTTTAGTAAATACTTATACATACATATGTGCATTTTCCGTCCCCCCTCTCCCATGCAATAAGTGATCTTTCATAGCTGACGTAATTCTTGGAATTTCGAACTCAAATTTTTCAAGTAAGTGATTATGTGTCCGCATGCCGCTTTATTATGATATACCGATTTAACAGGAAGTTATAGCCATAAATATAATTTCTGCACGCAGCTGTTGTTGACGTTGATGCTTTGGTTGACAGCAAACATGCTCACACAGATACGAATAGACACGCATAGACATGCATACACTCCCATAGACGCAATTGCTATGTAAATATGCAATACAAGCAATACACCCTTTACTTGAGTTCGAATACCGAGAGATGTAAAATCGACATTTTTTTAAATTTCCTTGATGTTTTAAATTACTCTATTCTAAACATATGTACAGATTATTTCAAAGTCGGGACACCCGACCTTAGATTCACTACTTGTTTAAAATATTTGTTCGTTGCACAGTGTTTGCTTCCATAGACCAATAATCAAACTAGACAGAACGCAACAGTCGAGCAAGCCCAGACAGTAAAATACACGGAAATACACAAAGGAAAAAAAAATTATTCAAAAAAAATGTAATTAATGAATTAAGTTAAATATAAAATATTCAACAGATGCATACATACATAACTGTTTATGTACAAGTTCAATAGAATAAATTTACATCAGAATCGTGTCTCAGCGTGTTTATATACGATTATGTATGTATCACAAAGTTAAGCCAAAACAGCAACAACAACAACTGCTGCGAGCAGAGCTGCAGGCAAAGCATGGGCAGAGATTTTTTTATGGCTATAACTTTCTTCAGAATTGACCAATCATGATGAAACATAAAATACGACACATAATCACAAACTGGATGTAAAAACCAAATTTTGGCTAAAAATTCCAAAAATTACGGGAGTTATAGAAAAAACACGAATTGCAGGAGAGTGCATCGAAAAAAACTCAAACTCTTACTTTCTCGGTCTTAGGAGAATCTGGATACCAAGTTTGGTTGTTCTAGCTATTATACTTTCTGAGATTGCGACCCTGTACCCAAAGGGTACAAGGGTATATTAGTTTTGTGCGAGTGTACATGTAACACACCGAAGCAGGCGTGGCAGACCCCACAAAGTATATATATTCTTGATCAGCATGACAAGCCGAGTCGATATAGCCATGTCCGTCTGTCTGTCTGTATGAACGCAAGGATCTCAGAATGTATAAGAGCTAGAATAACCAAACTTGGTATACAGATTCTCCTGAGCCCGAGAAAGGACGAGTTTGTTCTTTTTTCCCGATGCGACCCCCCACTCCCCCCTATTCAAGATTTTCTAAAACTTGGATTAATTCTTGGAATTTTTAACTAAAATTTGGTAGACACATCCAGTTAGTAATTATATATATGTATACCAAGTTTCATTAGGATAGGTTGATCAGATAGAAAGTTATAGCCATATAACCATGCCCAATGCACACGTACATACATATGTACAAGTACACAAACACGCATAGACACGATTTTGATGTAAATTTATGTATGCATGTATGGATTATTTTATATTTAATTTAGTTAATTAATTAAATTAAATTAATTAATTAATTAAATTAAATTAATTTATTTTTTTGTGGGGTGGTACAGGGTATTTAAGAGTTGAGCCTGCTCGACTTTAGCATTCCTTTCTTGTTGCGTTTATTGTTTTGTAGTGCAGGTTTGTTAAAAGTCCAT